ATCCTCTTGGAAGAATTATCTCTCCTTAAAGAGCCACTATGGAGTTCTTGTTAGAGAAATTCTCCTAAAGGATGGAAGAATTTTAAATTGCAACAATAGACTTGAGGCAGAAAATTTGAGTGAGGTGTTGGAAAGACAGAGGGGTCATCTGAACAGATCTCAAATGAATATATTCCTATGCTTGTGCATTCTGTGACCTGCTTTTCCACAGAAACGTATAACGTATATACAGCTATGCGTGGTGCAGTGTTCGTAAGTAAAAACATTAAGCACGAACACTTCTGTGTGCATTTGACAATAGGATAGTCAGAGCTAATCCATGCAACTGTTCTAAACAGAAGATGAACCATGATTTAAAAACCAACAATAGCTGGACCTCCTTGCCTGGTAAAGACATACAGGGTCTGGAATTCCTTCACTGAGTGGATTGATAAATTAAAGGTAATGCTTACTGATGAAAGTTTGCCAGAGAGCATTAAAAGTGAATTCTAGGTTCCCTCTCCATATTGTTTCTAAAGACCAGACATAAAAGGGCCCATAGTACCAAAGGAGTAACAAACCTGCTGACAGTCATCCCAGTAGGGACTGCATGTTCACTCTGGCTGCAGAGTAGAAATGGGCTCAGCATGAGCTGCTTTGCAGCTGATGCCCCACGCTGTGTTTTAAGAACATGTCAAGAAAACTCTTCCAGTCTATGTATTAGAAAATTGCTCTACAAGTTTTAATATGATTGATATCAGCAATTTTCACAGAAACCTTTCAAGACTCAGAAAATCCCCTACGTCAGAACCATTCTCTAACAATGTGGTTTTACTGGCAATGTGTTAAGATTAAAGTTTCCGACTGCAGACTGTGCTCTGCATATAAATAGATCAGTCCCTAAATGCTCATGAAAATCAGGCTGGAAGTGCCTTTGAGGCCTGACAGTCACCCATCTCTAACCCACCTCTGTAGGCACCTTTCATGTGAAAGGTATTACACAGAGATGCAAAATCCCATGCCTGTGCTACAAGAACTGGCAATTTAGTTGGATGTCTCAATGTAACAGCTTACTTGGGGTGGATGATGTATGTAGCTTCATAACCTACCACCCTGGTCAAGAGCAGGAGCTCACTCTGCAAACAGTCTGGTATGTACCAGGAGAAATGCTGAAAGGGGGTCATTGTGGCTGTTACTCTGCTAATTACAACATAATAAATAGCAGCTGGGGCCAGGACTGTGGAGAGATTGGATTGGATGGGGAGCATCTGCCTGTAAAAAAGCTCCAATTTCTGCAGAACACAGATCAAGAATACAATACTGTTCTTGAGGGACACACACCCAGAGCACACTCACCTCCTGCTCCTTCGGATCCAGGCAGGAAGGACCAGCTATTATTTAGTGCTCCAGGAAAAAAAAACCTGAACACTGATCAAAACGCCCAATTTTCTATTTAAAACTATGCAATGATCAGTGTGTATGACTATAAAAATGGTATTTATGACAACAGAAATTTAAAGAAAGCAGCGCAAAGGTGCCCTGTGTACAGCTGATCTGTGTATCACATTTTTTTCTTAGAGGTAAACTCCACTGTAACACTATGACAAATGCTACTCTAAAAATGAATTTTATGTATCTTGGGAAGCTTCTCTGAATGTCCAAATAACTGTTTTTCTTCAAACGCTAATATGTGCCCTGCTACCCATACTGTAGGACTAAGCAATATGTGGCAATTGACTTCAATGAGACCACAAACAGCTCCACTACAACTGCATGAATTGTTTGAGGATACCATTGAGAAGTGGGATTTTGCCCCAGAGATGTTTTAAAGGTACCAAGGACAGAAAGAAGCTCTCACCTCCAGGTCATGGCTTGGAATCACACCCCAGGCTGTGGTATCCTGAAGCCAAATTGAAACCTGCGACTAGAAGCTGCCTCTGAAAAGCAATGTGATTATGCCTCAATGTGTCAAGATCAGCACTGGTCCTACAGGTTCTAGTGGCCATCAAGAGAAATCACATGAGCTGAATGAAAATAAAGTCCCAGTAATTCTCTAGCCTGGGCATGGTATCTGCATAGAAAGGTTGAAGATGCTGATACTCAGTTTATTTCCAAAATAAACCACACACACACAGACTTTATTTTTAAATGGCCAAATCTTCTTCTTCTTCTTTTTTTTTTTTTTTTTTTTTTTTTTATGGCTGATTTCATTTATGCTTAACTAGGAAAAAAAAAAAAGGAAACAATAGAGAAAGAGATTTCAGATGCAGTACTAATATATTTAACTTCAACTTCACAGATGTTCAATGAAAAACTTCAGTGGATTATGGTGGATTAGCCTAGAAATATCACTTAAACTTGTACTTTGTTATGTAATCTTACCCAGCTAACTGAATGGAGGAAGGAAATTACCTGTAAATATCATGTTTTAAACGTACATTTTTTATATCTCTTTCTGTATTGTAAGAAATTTCACTCTTATTAAACTTTGCTTTAACACAAACATTCTCTTGATTTTTTGTACTAAGAATGGAACGAAGTATATGACTCAGATCATGGAGTGGCTATATCTCAAGTTATATGTTTACCATTCCATTTGTCACTAGAGTTTGCTGTCTTGCCTTGTAAAGCCCCATATAACTCTTGACAGAGAACATCTAATCCCAGACTAAATGGAAAAACTTGACCTCTTCCTATATATATTTGCAGAACTGTACAAATCTAGGTTCCCAGCGGGCTGATGCTTTGCTCTCTTATGCAAGGAGAGCAATTGCTCACAACCCCGGCAAAGGCAGTAATGCAGCTACCTGGTAGTCTGTTTTCTCACGGAGAGTCCGATCTTCAGGGATACTGAGCACCTCTTGGCACATGCTGAGACCTTCACCTGCTTCTCTTGTGAAGAAAGTGATGAAAGACCCTATTCCCCACCATGTTCATCAGCAATATTTTACCTATTGACTTCAGAGGTCTTGAAGTAAGACTTCCCAGTGCCATCAAAAAGCTGCTCTGTACATTGCAGAATAGGGTCCTGCAGTGACTAAGCCTGCAGGAGACAACCTACCGGACAACAATAGAGTGCTTTTATGCGGAAGTGGGAAGTGGAGTGAACATGTCAGGGAGAAGGTCTGTTTTTGTGTAACTAACTCCTTTGCTCAGTGGATAAAACTTGGGCTGTACAGAGTGTAGTGTTTATTTATGTCCAAAGTGCTGTAGCCACTTATTGAGAGGCTTCACCTGACACAGACTGGTAAGTATTTTTTTAACTTTTCCTGCCAGCACCCTGATGGCCCACTGAAGCCTGGCCAAAGTGTTAACATCTTGTTTGGTCTTAAAGAAACCAAATTACTTTATGTAAAAAGTTGTTTTTCTGGAAACCTCTTCAGAAACTGTTTCTCTGTGATTATTTGACATAATTTTCCAAATAAACACACTAGTGAATGTATAAAGTTTCCATTCATTTTTCAAAGGATTCCATGGGAAGCTTAGAATAGTTCATTTCAGTGGAAAAATCCTTGCCACTTTCTACAGAACATCTCAGGTTCCTACCAAAGAGGTCATTTTTCTTCTTTCCTGTCCTAGTAATTCAATACACCTGTCTGGTACAAATTATATTGACAAAAAAACAGCAAAGTAAGAACAGTTATTACGACTCCCATCATAGAGGAACATTCTGGAGTTACAAGGGTTTAGTTGTAAGAACTGAGACTTTGTGAGATGCTAACAAGTTACTCTATGCTTTAGTAACCATTACCTTAAGAGTTTAACCCTTAGAGTAGCTGCTTAACATTAACATTGTACTCCAGCACACCTCTGTTACCTACATAGTAGAGGCTAGGTAAGATTTTATACACACTGTGTATAAGAATACGTAGTTTATTTGCTGGACGGAATATCCAGGATTTGTTTCTTTCTGTATGTAAGCTACAGGTTCAGATTTTGAATGGTTAATCCTCACTACTTATAATTCTTTTGCATGTATCCATAAGCTGTGAACAAAAACATCTGTTATGCAGGTCCTCTCTTGCCTCCCACCAGCAAAAGCATGGCTTTGAGACCTCTGAGTGGACTGTAACCATTCATCACCCATAAAGAAACATCTGGCATTTTTAAAAAGGCACATGAGAGTGACATTTTTTGAAAAGTCAGATCCAGCTCTGAATACAACCCAGAGAAGTCTATCCTCTAAGTGACTTTAGAGGTACTGAGATGTATTTTTAAGACCTGCATCCACTGGCATCTGCTCCTAGTCTCTGCAAGAACTGTGTCTTGATCATGTTGCAATACCCTTGTCAAGTACGCCTATGAATTCTGGAAGTGTTAGAAACATTTCAAAGAACTTAATACCAGTGGGGAATGAAGCTAAAATCTGTACCTTGCATGCATTTATGATTGATTAGCCTTTGAAAACTCCCTGAAGCCTACCTGGCTGCTAGGAGACTTTCAGAAGAGCCCACACAGGGTCAGCACATCAATTCGTTGAAGCAGAAGAAAATAAAATCTTGCCAGGAAGAAGGGAGACAAATCCTTTCTGCACTCCCTAACATCAGTCAGCTGTTGGAGTGCATGCTGACATCTCTCAATCCCTCACAAAGTGAAGTGACACTATTGCTGAGACCCATTCAGCCATAAAAAAACCACATTCTTCCCTACAGACAGCTCCAGAAATTAGATTCAGCTCTTGATCTCAGCTGATGGCCACTGCTGCCTTCATGCCAGTGTGTCTATGGGCTTGGGTACTACAGGCAGAAGCAAAACAAAAGGGAGGGAAAGGGAGAAAATAAAATTAAAATGTCATTTCCTTTTTCCAAAATGAAGAATTGTATTCTTAAACCTTTAAACATGCTTGTTTACTTACAGAAAGAGCATTTCAGGCACAAAAGGTTTGAGTATCAGTCACATATCACGTTAAATTGTAATAGTATCAGGATTGTCCCATGCAGTGCTGAAAGCTATATTATCCCCTATCACGAAGTCGAAGTTGTTGGTTTTGTATACATACATATATATAAAGTATGCATCTTTCACACTATGGTCTCTTGGTCTGAGTTGACTTCAGTAGGGTTTATGTAACAACAGTATCTGTCATAAGGGCTGTTTTCCTTGTAAGAGCAGACTATGATACTGTCTTTAGGAGCAACAAAAATGTTGTCTTCAATGTCAGGGCCAGCAGTGCTGTCCCTGGTAGGAGAAGAGGTCTCCTTTTCCAAGGCACTGTACACGGCACCATCACTCACTAACACATTCCCTGGCATCTCTGGGTAACAGGTCTCCAGGTAGCTCAGCATCTCCTCTTGCTCCACCTTTCTGTTGAAGCTCCTGCACTCTCCCATGGCGGCAGTGGTGGTGGTGCAGACGGACACAGAGTCCTTGCCCCGTAGCACTCTCCTGTTCTTCTGGTATGCCTTCTTGGCCAGCCTGTTGCATCTCATCCTGCCACACTCCAGGTCTGAGGGGGTTCTCAGCAGCCTCAAGACGTCCCGATCCCTGACTTGCTTGTAGCACGAACACTTGTTTTTCTTGGGCCATTTGGTGCAGCCGTCGGTCTTTCTGGCGAGAGCAATAGCAGCGATGCCTGGCAGGCAGATGGCTGGCCCAATGGCCAGCAGCGGGATGTCCCCCAGGGTCTCCCCCTTCATGCCAGACACGGTGAACATGAAACCGAACACCAGGAAGACGCTGACCAGAGCCACCACCAGCCCTGTCCGGGGGTTGATGTTGTCGGGTCTCATGGTCCTCGCCATCCTGATGGCTTGCAAAGGATCACTTCCTTTCACCGAGGCGGCCGCTCAGGGCAGGGGATGTGTGCTCCCCAGCAAGTGGCTGAAGTTTCTCGGGCAGTGAAGCACGGAGAGCCCCGAC